AGAACACCTAGATACTCACTTCCTCGACAGCGAACGAACACCTAGACACTCATTTCCTCAATAGCGGACATCTAGACACTCGTTTCTTCAATATATAACACCTAAACACCTATTTCCTCGACGGCGATCACCTAGTTTATATTACATGGTACGCATAATTTTTTCACCAGCAATACTATTTTCGGAAAAAATGTCTCTGTAATAAAATGACGAATAATGAGATTTAAATAAAATTAAAGACATCGAGGGCAAATTTTATCTTTCTGTAAAGTTATACTCCTAAGAGTACCCCTACCAGCGAAAGTTCCCAGTAGGGAAATTAGGTTAGGTTATTAATCTCATTTTTCCACACCCTGACGTCCCTAATTAGGTATTCCTAGATCCTTTATATAATGTATCTTTCTGATTACGGAACGCTCTCGAGAAACTTCTGTTATACTTCATTATTGTATCCTAGCGGCATCACGCGACATCTTGTACATCTTTTCTAACTAACCCTCCGTCGGCCAAATTGGAAAGCCTAATCGATATATTGATTGTGAATCAAATCCGACTTTTATAATTCTTGATAACCAAGTATGCCAACACATTTGAATAAAAATTGTAATTATTATCAATTATATTGCAAAATATATATATGTTAATAGTAAAAAATTCGATTTAATCAAGAAAATAACAATTATGTAGGAAGAAAAGTATTTTAGTGATAATTTGCTGGTACACTGAAAAAAAAGATTGGCTGCTGCAATAAATTAGATGGTAAAATATGGCATAGCATTTTTAATTGGTTGCAGCAGTTAATTTTTGGTTGTGTTAGTCTATCGGAATCCTATACTGACATTGCAGATAGGCTAACTCAACCAAAAATTGACTGTTGCAGCCAATTAAAAATGCTATGCCATATTTTACCATCTAATTTACTGCAGCAGCCAATCTTTTTTTCAGTGTAGGTACCCTGGTAGCAAGCTGATGTCAAAATAACGTTTTGCGGACCGCATAATATTTATTTCGTTTGCATAAAATAAAAAATATAATTTTATATTTTCGGCTATGAACCGACGGGGCGCAGATTGCGCATCACTGCAGATTTATGCCTATCATATTTCTATTAATATAGATTAACTTTAATCTTGATTTAGTTTACTCTTTATCCTTGTCTAATTCTAAGAACTATATAAAAAAGATAAAAAGTAAGTTAAATCAAGATTAAAGTTAACTTACATTGGTAGGAAAAGGACTTAGATGATCATTCAATGCAGCATCTACCCTATGCGTAATTGAAATTTTAGCTTAAGCTCATGTTGCTTTCTCCATAGGAATCAATTAACGCCTGGCGGATGAAGCTGATTAGGCGCGAGAACTTTCGGATGCAATTTGAGCACCCCGAGCAAACTCTCAGAGACTGTGAAAGTTGATATTCGCGGTAGTTTCGTAAAGCCCAGCAGATCGCTGGTACTCGAGAATCTAATACCGGTATACAAGATGCACAGACTGTTAATCAAAGCGGAGACGAGTGCGTGTTTTCCTTGAAGATCACGATTACCAATCACGAACGCTTGTCACTGTTATTGCTCGCGATTCTGTTTGAATGAACGAGATGCCTTTATACGTGTCGTCTCGTTGATAGATTCATGACTAACGACCTTTAAACGCCCGACCACAAGAAACGCAGTCCACACCATTCAAAGTGTAACAGCAAAGTCAGAAAAATTACTTGGAAAAGTTTTCTAATTTTTTCGATCTGTTTTTTTACAATCTGTTCACTTTTATTCTCATGTCGTCGAAAGATATATTATAACATAGCTACTGCATTTTTTGTAGTTATTATCCCGACACGTTTCGATTCTTGTCAAAAACCGAGCACGTGCAAGGTTTGATTGGATTTGATTCGATTTTGCACTCAAAATTGGAATAGGAATCTCTTTTATTTTTTCCATATGTACGCAATATGTAGACACATATGTGGGTCTCGCTTCAAGCGATAGACTGCTATCTATCGAATATCGAACGTTAAAAAAAATCTTTTTTCAAAAAATGCGTCTGCCCAACTCTTGCGTTTTACATATATCACCTACAAAAATTCGTTATTAATTATTTCTTTCAAATCCTATGTAAATTAAAAGTATTAAGAACTGCGAATAGCAAACAAATTCCTAATTTCTGTAATAAACGCAAAGAGTGCACGTTGGCATTTTACTCGTATAGAATATACGGAGAGATTGATAAATTTAATACACCGATGCGCATCAAATATCCATCGCGTCTCTACTTTCGTTTTTTCAACAATTCTATTTTCGCTCTCTTACATGATCCTACTTCAATGTCTTCGCACAAAGAACAGTGACACAAGATAACAAAAAACAGCAAACATCTAAAAATTGTTGTTATTAATAAACAATATTTCCGGAAAAGTCGCAGAAATATTGCAGAATTAAATGATTCAAATAAAAAATATAAAAAAATTTGTTGTACAAAATTGCTTGAAAATTTAGATAATTAAAATATAAAAAAATGTTTATGACTAAATGTATTCTACCGATTCTTAGGCCGGTATTCATAATCAGATCTTATAT